TTTCTAGAATCAAAAACTCTTGTCTACATAACTTGTTTTTTTGGTGTAAGAGGTGTATGTTAGAAAACATGGATCAGTATATGGAATTTTTGGATTTGCTGGGAAAGATGTAATTGGAAGTTTTTCTGTAGATGTTGTCTGGTCCGTTTATGTAATTTTCTGTACCACCTTGGTACTTCTATCAATAAAACTTTACCTTATCAAAAAAAAAAAATCAATAAATAGGTACGGAAGGATAGGGTGAACACAACATTAACCACTAGCCGTCTAAGATCAACCCTATCAAACTGGCCTCATCCTCGGCTCGAAGAAGAAAAAAGCTCGACTACTTCCTAACATACAACCGTAATGCTTGACCTCCACACCTTCCTATCAAGAGCCATTTCCTCGGAAATCTGTAGCCGTGCCATGTCCTGCCTGATCACCTCTCCCTAATACTTCTTAAGCTGCCCTCTACCTCTTCTCGTACCGGCCAAAGCCACACCTCCTCACCGGAGCATCAAAACCTTTGTGCCTTTATATACATTTTAGTGCCTTCTATAGTTTTCAACTTTCACAACGCTACTGGGCCCTAAACTAATTTAACTCTCCAGCTAATGGTAACAGAAAATAATAGAAAAATATTGCACTCTACACTTATCAATAATGAAAAACTTTTCAGTTCATAAAATTGAAAGAGGAAGAAAGTTTTACTTTAATGAAGGTACATCGATCAAATTATTTGATATTGCTCTATGATTGTAGATTACAAAAGATACTTTCTGCTTTAAAGATTTAACACACTAACAGATTTGATCAGGAGCCTATGGAGATAAATATGAAGCCGAAACTCTGAACCAAAAGGGAATTAAGCTAAGCGGGAAATATTGCTATTTTCCTTCTCTCCCTGCTTCTAGCCACATCATTAGCGGTGCATTCTCTCTATATTGTCCTTCTGAATGCATGACACAACCATTTAATGATTAATCCTAACTTGAGTGCAGTTATAGGTCTCCCATAATTTTATTTGTATATAGTGTGAGTTTAGACCATGATAACATGTGGAATTTGGATTATGGACTTTTTCTTCACATTAAACTATGTCAAGAAATTATGAGCGAGTTGGCTTGATTTTGTGCTGGAAAGTGGTAATAAGCGAATTCGGTGGTGTTGAAAACCCCCCATCGTGCATCCAAGGGTGTGTGAGCTAGTGGTCAATGAAGGTGGTGAGAAGCATGAGGTCTCAGGTTCAAATCCTAGTGGAGGCAAAAACACTAGGTGATTTCTTCCCATATGTCCAAGCCTTGGTGGATAGAGTTACCTGGTACCTGTTGTTGGTGGGAGGTTGCAGGTATCCTATGGAATTAGTCGAGGTGAGCGTAAGCTAGTCCGTACACCATGGTTATTAAAAAAAAAATATACCACATGGGTGAGGATGAGGTTCATTGGTCTCCTTATCTCATCTTGGGCAATCCTTACCTCATGAGCTAGCTTTTGGGATTGAGTTAGGCCCATGTCCTTTTCCTTAACATTATATCCGAGCAGACAAAGGTCTTGGGTTCGAGTCTCATTGCCACCCAATATCAAAAAGAATTTTCACGTACTTGGCTCATAAAAAAAATCAAGCTCGCACGTGAGGGAGCGTGTTGAAGGCATAATTAAGTAAATGAATGTGTGTTCTCTAATTAAGTAAAGAATGAAGCCCGCACATATTGCATTTTGATTTCTAAGTGGTTATTGTTTAGCATTGGTACTTTCCTTTTGGACTCGATGGTCTTAATATGCTCACAGGGCATATATATCTGTGCCTGGATTTAATTAGGGCACTCTTTATAAAGTTTTAAAATGCACCAGAGAAAAGATAATTTTATTCATGTACAACAGGCTCTTTATATAGAGCAGATACAAACAGAAATACATTAAAGGTGGAACAAACTGATATGATAAGATTTTGTGCAGTAGGATACACTAGAATACAGGAAACTAACAAAATCCTAAACCTAGAAAATAGGAAGCTAATAACAAACTCCTAAACTGAAGGATATCAATTGTTATCCTTTAATACGCCCCCGCAAGTTGGGGGTGACTGGAATAAGCCCCAACTTGTGAAAATTGCGCAGAAAAGTGGTACGCGGAAAAGGCTTCGTGAGGATGTCGGCAACTTGATCAGCAGAGTGAAGGTGACGAACCTCAAGTGCTTTATGTTGAACTTGCTCGCGAACAAAATGGAAATCAATAGCTATATGTTTCATCCTACTGTGAAAAACTGGATTAGCACAAATGTAGGTTGTGCTAACGTTGTCACAGAGGACTGTTGGTGGAGCAGACAATGGGAAATGAAGCTCATGGAGCAAATTCGTGAGCCCATTAATTTCAGAAACAACAGCAGCAACAGCTCGGTACTCAGCTTCCGTGGATGAGCGTGAAACAGACCTTTGCTTTTTGGAAGACCAAGAGATTGGTGAGTTCCCAAGATAGACAACATAACCTGTTGTTGATGTTCTGTCTTGTGGATTCCAGCCCAATCAGAGTCAGAATAAGCAAGTAAACGATCTGTTGGTTGTCGACATAGCTTAACTCCCATTGTGCTGGTGTGTTTCAGGCAGCGCAACAACCGTTTGATAGCTTTCCAGTGAGACGCTATTGGATAATGCATAAACTGAGACAACTTGCTTACAGCAAACCCGATGTCAGGCCTAGTGAAGGATAGGTAGTGAAGCTTACCAATGATTCTTCTGTAAAGTGAAATGTCAACAGCAGAATCGGCTTCAGAATCAGCGAAGGAGCAGGTTGATGTCATCGGTGTTGGGACACCCTTGCATTCAGCCATGTGCAATTCATCCAGAAGATCCATGACATATTTGTGTTGAGACAAATATATGGCCGTTGGCGTTGATATTACTTCAACACCCAAAATATAATACAATAGCCCAAGATCTTTTAGAGAGAATCGTTGAGAAAGAGTATCAATGATGGACCTGACACTTCTTACAATATTACCCGTAATAATTATGTCATCAACATATATGAGAATATAGACAGTAACGTCTACAATGTGAAGGATAAACAAAGATGAGTCAGATTTGGATTTAACAAACCCAATACTTGTCAAATAGTTGGTGAGCTCGGTGTACCACGCCCTAGGAGCCTGCTTAAGTCCGTATATTGCTTTTTTTAGCTTGCAAACATATGTTGAATGTTCAGAGGACTCGAAACCAGGAGGTTGTTTCATGTACACTTCTTCAAGTCTGCCTTGTAAGAAGGCATTATTGACATCCAACTGATAAATAGGCCATGAGCGTTGAGCAGCAATTGCAAGGACCAAACGGACTGTTGCGGGCTTAACAACGGGGCTGAATGTAGAATGATAATCCAACCCAGGCCTTTGCGTGAAACCTTTGGCTACTAGGCGAGCCTTATACCTGTCAATGCTTCCATCAGGTTTATGTTTAACTCTAAATCACCACTTACAATCTACAACATTCCGAGAGGGATCACTAGGAACCAAATCCCACGTCTGATTTCTGATTAGAGCATCATATTCTGCTTTCATTGCTTCTTTCCAATGGGGGTATAGTTGTGCTTGACGGTAGGAGCGGGGGATTGGTGGTGAGAGGTTGGTTTTGGCAAGAAAAGTCTTGGGTTTCAGGCTATTTGTTTTTGATCGGGTAACCATTTGATGAGGAAGGGGGGCTGGTTTTGGTTGCGATGGAGGAGAAAGAACGTGTTGGGGTTGGGATTCTATGGGTGGTTGTGGTTGAGGGGCTTGGACAGATGTGGTAACTTTAGAGGTCCGACGGCTATAGGTTTGGATAATGAGTGGTTTACTTTTTGCCGCATCAAGAGGGAGGATGGGTTGAGTAGGGGAGGAATAATCAGAGGTGCTAGTTGGATTATTGGGATAAGGGGGAGAATTACCTGAGCTTTGTGACGCTGCTGGAGAAGGAACAGAGCAAGACTTTTCTATACACGTAAACAACGGCAAAGGTAGTTCAAAACAATGTGACTCTATTGGGATATCTGTGTGTGTGCCTTTTGGTGAAGATACGTCATCCCAAGTAATTTTCAAATTCAGATTTTTATAATTAGAGAAAATATTAGCAAAAGGATAATTGTTTTCAACAAATACTACATCTCTCGAAAGATAAACTTTGGAGGTGGTTGGGTCAAAGCATTGATGGCAATAATATTTATTTGAAAATCCCAAATAAACACAGGACTTTGATTTTGAATCAAGCTTATTTTGTGAATACGGTTTTAGCCACGGATAACATAAACAACCAAAAATTTTGATATTTTCATAACTTGGTGATTCTTGAAATAAAATCTCATATGGAGACTTGTCTTTTAAAATTGGAGTTATCATTCTGTTAATGAGAAAAACAGCTTGATGACATGCAAAACTCCAAAATGTGGCTGGTAATGAAGCTTGGTGCATTAGAGTTTTGGCAGTCTCGACGACATGGCGATGACGTCGTTCTACCAGAGCAACTCTTTGTGGAGTATAAGGTGGGGAAATTAAGTGTTCGATGCCTTGTGATTTTAAATATGAAGTTAAGCTTTGAAATTCACCTCCTCTATCAGTGTAAAAAGATAGTATTTTTGTTTGAAACCGACGTTCGAGCAAAGGATGTAGTGTTTTGAAAACATCTAAAACCTCATTTTTGGTCTGTATTGTTTGGAGCCACATGTACATTGAAAATTGATCGACGAATAAAACATAATATCTTTTTTTATCAATAGACAAAACTGGTGAAGGTCCCAACAAATTAATGTAAATAATTTGTAGCGGCCTTTGACTTTGCAAAGAACTTGTCGAAAAAGATTGCCTGTGGCTTTTATTTGATTGGCATGAATTACAAATTGAAAGAGTCTTTTATAACTGGAATGGAAAATTTTTTCAAAAATATATCTAAATTACGGCGTGTTGGATGCCCCAAACGCCGATGCCACAAATCTAAACGCATAGCCACATTGCATTGCGGTTGAGAAGAAGGGTTGTCTAGCGGCCATTCATAAAGTCGTCCTCTACTCCGTCCTTGAACCAGCGGCGCCCCCGTACTCAGATCCTTCACAAGATAAGAGAATGGAAGAATTCAATGGATGTTTTATTGTCACGGCAAAATTGGGAAACTGAAATTAAGTTGTTGGCAATTGAAGGGGAGCAAAGGATATTAGATAACTGAAAGCGAGAATTAGATGCATATAAATGAGTGTTACCAGTGTAAGAAATTGGTATGGTGTTACCATTTCCCATAGCAATCTCTTCTGGACCATTGTAGTCATTAATGTTTGTAAGACTTTGGGCATCCGATGCAACATGGTGTGTAGCCCCTGTATCAACTATCCACGGAGTAGGTTGTTGCGTTTGTCGTCCCGCAAAGTTGGCTCGTGCCTGAAAATGATTATGAGACTGAGAGCGGCAAACTCGAACAGAGTGTCCAATGTGGTCACATAACTGGCACACTAAGTTGTTGTCTTGCTGATTGGCACGACGATTGCGCCATGGCTGAGAACGATGTTGCTGGTTATTATTTTGACGCCTATTGTTGTTATGGGTGGCGTTGGTCCTTGCTTGAGAGCTGGTCTTTTGAGCAACAGCCGCAGTGATTGTGGTGGAAGTGTGAGGCAGAGCATTGTGTTTGAGAAAAAGCTCATGGTCAATAAGCTTTTCAAATAGTTCTTCATACGAGATAGGTGTGTCACGTGCTCGAATTGCTGCTGAGATTTCTCGATATTCTGGTCCAAGCCCAGTGAGAATCTTGACAATGAGTTCAGCATGGGTGACAGGTGCTCCTGCAGTCGCAAGTTCATCGCAGAGAGAACGGACTTGATTGAGATAGTCCGTGACAGGAAGGTTCTCTCTGGTGAGACGAGCAAGGTGATCTCGCAAGCTGAATACGCGAGTTTGAGACTTATTGGCATAAGCAGTATGGAGGGAATCCCATGCCGCTTTGGCTGTGGCTGCAACAGCTATAGTGGCAGCAAGAGTTGGATCAACTGACGCTAAAATAGCGTTTTGGATCAACTGGTCCTGACGAAACCAATTAACGTAATCGGGGTTGGCAATTGTCTGGTTGTTTGTGGTGGTGGTATGGACAGGAGAAGGGATAGTCCCATCTAGATGGCCATAGAGATTGTGTCTTCTCATGAGCATGGACACTTGTGTCTTCCAGAGAGAGAAGTTATGGCTGCCAGCAAGTTTGATCGGAAGTTGGGTAACTGGGTTGAACTGAACAATAGAGGTGATGCTTGTTGCATCAGAATTGGTAACAGAGGGTGCCATTTGTGGTGGGTGGGTAACAAAAAAGGATCAGAACTCTGTGAGGAGAAAGAAAGCTCTTGATACCATATAAAGTTTTGAAATGCACCAGAGAAAAGATAATTTTATTCATGTACAACAGGCTCTTTATATAGAGCAGATACAAACAGAAATACATTAAAGGTGGAACAAACTGATATGATAAGATTCTGTGCAGTAGGATACACTAGAATACAGGAAACTAACAAAATCCTAAACCTAGAAAATAGGAAGCTAATAACAAACTCCTAAACTGAAGGATATCAATTGTTATCCTTTAATACTCTTCAGGGATGAGATTCCGTGGTGGCATTCCTCATGATTATTATTAAAATGAAATGCTATTAACATTGTTGTGTCTTTTTGGCGTAATGCCATCTGATTTATGTGGTAGAGGAGGATCCCTAGGATGTGCCAATGTTGGACCGGTTAGGTGTATCACAGACTCTCTGAGTTTGTATTGACCATGTAAATCTTTATCCTATTTTCTCTAAATGATTAACTGTTTGCGCCTTCATTTTTGTTCTGCCCTCTTTAGCCTTTTTAATCCTGCTATCATTCCAGGCATGTTACTATTAAAATGCTAGGCATGCAGTTCTTCCATGAAGAAAACCTAGTATTTTGCATTTAATCACCTTTTTTTCCATCTATATGACTAATTGCCCTTGATAGGTAATTTTTGTAGGTGCTAACTTTTTTTTGTTGAAATAGTAACTTCTTGGGTATTTATTGCAACTCATAATTTACCATATTAGCTTTTCTTCCTCAAAGTGGACTGAGTTACCTTCCTACTTCTGCGGAAGCTAGTTCCAAGTCCTCTATCATCTAAGTCTCTGCATAATTCCAATCAGTGATTACTCAAGTCCAATTGTAAGATGTACCTAAATGTGCCCATGCTGATCCTATTTTGCATATTAATTGTTATTGCATGTGTAAACAGTCAAATAAGGTAATAGCGTGAAGATAAGCTACGGACAGAGGCGATTAGACATTAGCAGGATTCCTTGTGATAAAATAAAAATTAGCAAGATTCACCTGTCCCTATTTCTCACTTTGGTTATTGGCTATCGCCTATTGTGTATGTTCTTTAATAAGATACCTGCTTCTCACTCCTCTAATTCCTTTCTTCTCAAAGCTCAATCACAGGATCACTTCTTAAAACTTCTCAGATCTTTTTTTTGATAGGTGAAGTCTTTTATTAAACTAGTACCAAGATGGCACAGAAACAAGTTCAAACTTAATCTAATGTTATTTTAAGTGATCACTTCGTCGCTTAAAGCGATGAAGCGATGCGAAGCGAGGGGCTACCGCTTGATTTGCATAGCCATGTGCTACAAACAATGACACACAAAGTAATCCTAACAGGAACGGGTTGATCTTTTGAATCTCAACTTTGAAAAGTTGGATTAGTATCAATATTATTTTAAATTGGATGCTGGAATTAGTTATCTTAATTGTAATTTGATTATTATAACACTATATAGACGTGTTTGGTATTTTTGATTTTCTGTAACTTGCGCACTTCACTTCTCGCTTTTTGCTTCAAGCCCTATGGACCTTATCACTTTTTTGTGGTTTTCGCTTTTAAAAACACTGCGCATATCCTTTTTCACATTTAGGCAAACCTAGATGGAGAACTTTTCTCATTCTATTCAATATGTGCTTTGTACCAACTTGAGAGAAGACTGATCTTTCTGATGTTGCTGTTCACTAAATTTGCTATCAAATTCTTGTCTTCTCATTTAGTTGTTGGCTCATTATTTCTCATACTCCATACAGCCAGCATAAAGTTGTACATTCCCATGTTTCATAGTCCGGCAATCATATTCTTTGACATTCATATCATGAAGTATATTTCCTATACTATTCTTCGGTGATACTTTTTGTAGATGAACTCCTATTGCCAAACCTTGCCGTCTTGATAAGAAAGCCTACCCATTGCTTTCATTTGAGGTTAAAAGAGAATCCATTGGAGGTTAACCACCTTTCTCTAGATACTCATACCTCATCATTTCATAATTGGTAATTAAAGAACTTGAGAAGTCACAAGCTACATCAGTAAATACATAAAAGAGATTCCTATCTCTAAGAAGAAACTGTGAATTTGCACTTTTCCAGCTCAAAATTCAAAACTTCTTTCCATTTTTTGGATTGTGTAAAAGAGGGCCAAAATTTGCTGGTCCAGTTCTTTGAAGAGATCTAATTGTGTTATGATACAGGTGCTTGGAATTCAGAAATTGGCGGCTGAGCTGGATTTAAGCTGTATAACTACATATAAGCTTGACGCACTGAAGTCTGTTTGTTGTGGAGCTGAATCTGATAATTTGCCTAACACATGGTGTAGCGAGGATGTACAAAACATGCAAAAATCAGATTTATCATTCGCTGCTATAGATGTATTTGATGAAAAGTTACTATCCCAAAAGAACAGTGAGTAGTCAGAAAGCTTTCAGTTTGATCATGATATTTTTCCAGTTTGGGGATGTGTTGTTAATGTTGTATTCTGCTGAAAAGAATGTCTTTGGTCTCTCCTTTTAGCCTGTTCAAGAGGTTTTGGCATCTACCCGTACTTGTTTATTTTTGTGGTCTTTTGAAACAGTGAGCTCCTCAACTAGTGATTCCACTATATTGATGTGCGTTGACCTTGCCATTGCCCAACTTCGTGTAATTGAAATGCAGTTGGCTGATGCTGTATCTTTACAATCAATTGGATTTTATTTAAGGAAATTATGATGCGGATGAATTGTTTGATGTGCCATTTACATGTGTGTATATAAACAGCAGATATTTATTTGGTTAAGGTTTGTAGTATAAGTTACTCAGACTGGTTTGGTAGTCCTTTGAATAATGTTAGCTCATGATTCTCTTAATTCAAGAACATTTTCACAAGTTCAGAACCTGTAAATTCAGTATGAAAATGTTCTGACAGTTCCAGTTAACTAGAGTAACTAAACGAATCTCTCAGTAGATGACTTGCAGGCGAAGGATGGTCAGTACACTAGCAAAGCTGAACTACGGAAACGCATAAGGAAACTAAAAAATGGGCCAGGAAGGAATCACACTGCCGGTGGGAGGGTTGAAAAGTCTCAAGGTTTTTCTCCCAATAGCTTTGATCGTGTGCTCCTTGATGCTCCTTGCTCCGCATTAGGTTTAAGACCTCGTCTCTTTGCTGGAGAGGTAAGACAGCTGTGGAATTGTCTCATTCCTACAGTATTCTTGCTCTTTTTCTATGCTAAAAGTTTCTCTACAATTTATTTTGTTGGAATTTGGATGAATAAAATGTTCTGCTTATGTAGGAATGATTTGAAATGCATGGAGATGATCAGATAAAAGTGAAGGGGTTGTTATATTTTATGTCTGTCTTGTTCTGGACTATTGTATGATGTATAGATAGCAAATGGCCTGCCTTTTCTCCTTTAATATACAAGAAGAGTTGCTTGTCTTTAATAATTGAGAATGAGTATTACAGTGGAAAGTGATTATGAAAACAAGCGGGAATTGTGGGATAGTAAACCACAACGTGGAGATGAGGAAAGGACTAAGATTTGTTAATTATATTTTGTGTATGCCTTATTGTATTTAAGTTAACATGACTTGGTTAAAGTACCCAAAGCAAATGATGCATTTTTATTAAGGGGTGGATCACTAGCTTTTAATTTCCCCCTCCCCTTTTGTAAAAGATGACTAACTCTTAAGTAATAGCTGGTCAAACCTTTTATCTTCATGGGATGGTGATGTCATGTCAAGCAAATTTGTTATGAAAGTGAATCAGCAGTCCTTGAGGTAAAAATTCATTGATCCAATGACATGCAGATATTCTTAGACATTTTTCTATTTGATGATGAAATTGAAAATGTCTATAGTGTCTGGAGGTTTCTGATGGATTGGGTTGGTGGGGAGGCTCTGATCAACTACACCCATTTTGATCAGAGCAAGTTTATTCCTATTTCCTGCATATTTCAACACTACTACTCAAAAGTTATCCCCTTTTTATTGTAAATTTGTGAAGACATTTCTGTTGTTATTTGAGGGACAACTGATTCAGAAAACATTTCTCTTGTTATACCCAGGAGACAATTGATTCGTTGAAGAATCATGCTAAATATCAGAGACGAATGTTTGACCAGGCTGTTCTGCTTGTTCTCCCAGGTGGAGTTATTGTCTATTCCACGTGATTACAAACATGTAGCTAAACCTTTTCTTTACGAGACTTAAGGCTAATTTCGTTATTAAGATTATTACAGTGAATTTCATCATTGCTTTTGTTGACTTATTCCATTCATACTTTTTCTTCCTGATTGACCTTTATAACAGCTCTACACTCTTTTTGGATCATAAACAAATTTCGTTTTTAAGATTATTGCAGTGAACTTCTCTCCTTTTGGATCATAAACAAATCTCTGGCTCCCTTTTCTGCAGTCTTTTTAACATTGTTCCTTTGTTCTGGTGAATGACATAGTACTAGATCCTAGTTCTTTTTAATGCTAGAGGCTGTGCTTGCAGAAAGTATCAGACGTGGCCTGACATCCATTTTGTAACAGTGTGCTAAAACATTTTTTTTATGAATTAGAAACAATCTGCTAAAACATATATGCATAGAACAAGTTTCTTAGTTTTCCTCTATCTTTATTCTTTAGGCATGGCTGTTTATACAGATCCATTTGGGAGTTGTTGCATAAAATGCCGTTCCAAAATGTGGACTCATGTCTTAATATGTAAATACATCATTTACATACGTCACCGACCAACTTTCTGTAAGACTCACTAAGACATTGAGGTGGACTCATGTCGACCAGATTTCAATGAGACAGTGAAGTGTAGAAGACTTAATTGGACAAATTAATAATTAGGAGAGCAAAAGTTACATCATAAGAAATCAAATTCACAATATTCGGAATGCTATGCATGATTCTAACACAAATATTCACAATTTGTTTTTGAATCCCGTATGAAGGAGATTGAGAGAACCTCTATCTGTGCGAAAGTCATCCCATGGATTATTCACTAGGTGCTATATTCTGTGTGAATATACCATGCAGATTATGATGCTACTTTTTCCATCCGAAGAA